AAGGGCCACAATAATTAAATCTTCCCGTTGCTTAAGAAATTTATCAACCTATCTGAACAACCCCAAATTGTAAGAACTGTGTGGCCAGATTTCGAAAAATTGTGGTTCCTAAATGTGGGTTTTTACAAAATTGACTCTGGAAGCAAAAGGTCTAAAGTCGATGATAAACCCTTTAAGCCCCAATATCTACAAAAAAACGGGGGGCTATAAGCGGAAATTTACGGTAACACATGTCCATGACGGTGAATCCACCATACCTCCACCAGCAGCTTCCTTATGACAGCATCCGTAACACCCAGAGTCATCTGCTGTGCGCCAACTTCACAGGCTGATGTCGCCACATCCTTGGCCACCACCTTAAGAGGCATCTGTCCCAGTTTCTTTGGAATGATACTAAAGCGCACAGATTTGGCTTCACTGCTACACACACAGACGTCAAAAGAGGAATTGGAGAGTATCCTGTAGTGCAGAGACTCTTCCAAGCCCAGGCGAATCTATTTTGTCAAAAAGAAAAAAACCATTGACTTTAACAATGCAAAAATAATAGAAAAACGGAATTTTCACATCAACACTTGATTCCTGGCACATATAAAAAATAAAGGCACACATTTCTCTGTTGATTGAGAAAATAATTCCCCCACTACTCTAAATTTCAATTTTTACATTTTTTTTTTCGCAAAATTGCTTCACTAAATATCTTTGAAATTTTGTCTTCATTTGCTATTTTCGGCTCCACTTTTCACGTGATTAGTTTTCTTCACGATTTCACTTTTTTATTACCTCTAAACACAACACACCCCACGAGCAGAGATCCTTTTGCTTCTTCGGGAGTTAGGAGGTGAAAAGGACGCTCCGCGGGATCGTGTCAAACCTTTGAGGACACTGACCGCAGCCCATACTTCTGGACTGGTCAATCTTGTGCTCTCTCGCCAAACTGTTTTCTTTTCTTCCGAGTACGAGCATCCGTTTATTGATTGATCGATGGTCATTACCAAGACCAATGTAACAAGCACACGACCCTTAGGCCTGGGTTCGAAACTATATCTTAGCAACATGCCGCGCATGCTCAACAAAGATCTTATGCAGAGTCTTTCATGATTACGCCAAAATCGAGCAGGGTCAGAGCCGGATCCAGACCCTGAGATAGGGGGGGGGGGGGGGCGGTCTCCCCAAAAAACTTTTTCCGCTCTTCGGGCTTCCATTTGGTCTAAAATTAAGAGGGGGAGGGGGCGGGGCCCCCGGGCCCCTCCCCTGGATCCGCCACTGAGGGTAAAGAAGGGCTCTGCTGCCAGTGTGAAGACAACACAACAGGTTGTCTAAAGCTTGGGTTTCAAAAAACGTTTTAACACGTGAGCATTATGAATTATTTAAGAAAAGATTTCGACGCCATATGTGGGTTGAGGTTTTTCTCCGGGTACTCCGGTTTTCCCCTCTCCTCAAAAACCAACATTTCCAAATTCCAGTTCGACCAGGAATCAGGTAGACGAAGAACCACTGTGTGGATGTGCTACCTGCAAATCGCTATTTATTTATTTATTTATTTATTTAATTTTATTTTATGTCACTTACAGTAAGACACTTGGCTTTTGTAGTTCAAGACTGAAGCTATAATGGACACTTCCTCCTCGCGGATATATAACACAGTAGGGGAGGGTGCGTGAAACAAAAACGAACTTTTTAACAAAAAGGATTAAGAGTTTTTTAAAAAAGGTTTCGTATTTTACTTACAGTAAGACATTTGCTTTCGTAGTTGAAGACTGTTGCTATAATGGACACTTCCTCGCCGCGGATAACAGAGTATGGGAGGGTCAGTGAAACAAAGAATGACTGGAATACTTTCAGTGTGGCAGGTTTGGAAACTCCGAGACCAGATGAATTGGACATGGCAAATGCACTTGCTATCCAGCTAGTGATGGTATCAGGAACCTTGGCCATAACCACAGCTTTTCCAGTCACGTCGCTGCAATTCAATGAAAATATGAATGCTTAGTGGTCAATTGTGTGTCTTAATTAATCAATTTCGTCGCTACTTTGGTTTTGATTGCTAAAATTTTTCAATTGGCTAAAAATTCTCAAATTACCACAATGTTGAGACGCGTGATAATAAACAATTATTATCCATTTTCTTTTCTATCTGTCTTCTCATTGGCCAAGAGCCTACAGTTAATTTTGACAATAACGCACCTCACAGATTAGTTAGTTATCTGCTAGCAGATTACTGACTGATCTGAGACAGGTTGCACACTCAATACATTACCTCCAAAAGAAATGTCAGTGTGTTTGGCATTACTTTCTTCGAGACAATGTGAAATAAAACAATCATTAGATTTGGTTCTAACCATATTCGGAATAATCAAGGTCTCAGTATGTGTTATTAGCCTCGGTCTTCGGCTCGGCTGATAACAATTAGCTCGACCTAGATTGCGCGATACCAGAGTTCAAGTGGAACTAAAAGTTCCAAAAAAAATGTGTACAGTCCGACAATTATTGAACGAGGGTGTGCCAAATATGGTGATTTGTTAGTGGTTAAGTAGAGCAATTATTTACCGATGCAAATAATTGATGTTAGAGACACGTCAGAAAAGCACGGTCCGCATGAAAGTGGTTTCACTGATTCACCACATGCTGCAATTTTTCGGCCCAATTTTTTTCTAAAGAAAACATATGACTAGAACACAATCGGCCTGACTTTCAAAAATCTGTGGCGCTCCAACACATATCTGAAATCAAATAGGCGTCGAATTTGACCCGATCTTTGTTATTTCGCGCCTTCCCTTGGGATAAGAAAATCGGCCCGATAAATCGTAGCCTATAAAGCGCATCATTTCAACCGAGGTTAGCCGCAAAGATGACTTTCTTATATCCCCAACCATGTCTTAAGGCCGCAGAACATTTCTGTGATTTTCAAATCTTTAAGCAGCACATCTGATGTAAACAGTTACTCACCAAGAGAACAAAACTAGGGCTTTCAACCCGGTTTTCTTTACACGAAAAGTAAATAAACGTTTCCGAACTAAATCTCTTGCAAAAACAGTGAGTTCATTTTATTAAAAAAATTCCCCAATTTTCAGGGAAATTTACTCAATTTAGTTTTACTTTTAGGCTTAATTCTTAACCAAATTCAAAATTTATCAGTATCGCCTTGTCTGTAAGTAGGTTGCCTGGATTTCACCCACACCTGGTCTGCAAGTATATACCGGGGGTAAGTTCTTAATTAAATTCAATATTCAAAAGGAAGGTCAAACATTTAGGGTCTGCTATCTAAACCAAGTCCAACTTAAGCCGCGGTTTAGCAAATCTTTGGACCTCCAGATCTCTTCCTTAGTGGGTTATTTTAAGACAATGAGTGCTTTTCCAGTCTACGCCTTATGATTTCATGAAACTTTTCACGATAAATGGTGTTAAGATAAAAGCGTTAGGCAAACTGAAAATGGCTTAGAACGCAGTTTTGTTAAACACTGCCTAACTCCGTTTTAATAACTGGCCCGGCTTATACTTTTAAATGCGTAAATGTATGAATGAAACAACATATAAATGATGATATAAATCTGTGATGACATGTTTAAGATTGTGTAACATCGTGATCCCTCAATAGCTACTAAATCCATCGCTATTTTAAATACATGATACGACTTAAGCTGAAACAAGAACTAGACAGGCCAGTAAGTGCTAAATGTCTAAGTGGGACATGAACGTTTTCTCAGTATTTTTAGATCTGTCGAACTTCAGCTGCAAGTAACTGTACAAGACCGCCGGAGACACCAAAAATTTTACCAATATCCGCGCCCTTAACAAAATCTCCGCGGAGAAATGGCTATGGACACCGTAAAGAAAAACGATATAAACCTCTCATTTCAGCTATAGAAGTTTAAAAATTGACACAAATTATTAAAACGATTAAAGTCAATAGTAAGACATTAGAGTGATTTTTACTTGAACCGTGAAACAGATACTAACAAATAGTGCAAAATAGCAAGCGGTAAACAAAAAGAAGACAATGGAATAAGTGCATAATAGTGCGTAAAATCACTCGAAAAATTTGCCATATTTGGTCAGCACTAATTGGTTATAAAGATCAATGCCAAGAAATTAAAGCCAATGGAAAATTGAGAAATATTCTAAATGAAAAATATTAGCAGTACGGTGCTTTCTAACCTTTATTAACGGAAACTTCCACGATACGAGACGATACAAAACGGTACCATACGATACGATAACATACGTAACGAGGAGTTTACGCTTAGGTTAATCAGCTAATTTACAGGAAATCCAAGGTCCCAGTATACATGTATACCAAAAAACTACAAACTACAATTGTACAATATTAACTAAAACTGAACTAAATTCTAAAATATACACAACGGAAGACAACAGGCGGCAATTACTGAAAATCCCTTTATCACTCACGATTAAGTGCTCAAGGTATACTTTTCTCTTCATCTATACCCGCTTTAGTTCTATCATTTGAAAACTCTTTCTTTTTCTTAGCAGCAAAATTGCTCCATGATTTGCAGCCGAACAATGTATTTAATACTCCTGACTTTCGGTAAAGAAAGGACATAATCATAAGATCATACTTGGATGAGCGTAAAGTGATGAGAAACTCAATTGCAGGTGGAGCATAGAATACACCTCTGTAGTGTGGACACTTGGATATGTCCCTTTGGTGTCGTCTGCATTACACTTGTAAGCAATTTTTAATTGCCTCCTCCTCAAAAGACCTTGAAAAAACGCCAATTTAGGCGGAAAGCAAGCAAGAGCTGTCACATTTCTACCCTTCAATAGATATCCACTTACTTACACTCCAAAGGAAACAAGGAAATCGTTCGTGTTAGCGGGATTCGAGTTTACGTGGTTAATGATAAAGTTCAAGTTATCCTGTACCCTCTTCCGGGGGCTTGGGTATAAAACGTTCTTACGGTAAGAGGGCTCTTAAGCATTGGTCTGGAACAACAACCAAGTTGTTTCAAATCAATACTTACGAGTGCCATAAACTTGGACGCTTTATGCGACCCTGTCCAAGTTTTCAGTTGGTCGTAACGAGGGACACAAAGGAAGCGACTGAAATAAGACCATGCACGTCTCGCCCAATGGCACAAAAACTGTCTTCACGTCTTAAATATAACGCGATCTACTACCTTGGACAAAATGAAATAAGAACAACAAACCCCTCTTTCTTCGGAAATCAAAGATGAAGCAGCGCAAAGGCCAAAACGCGCCATTTTCCCGTCTTTGATCGAGGGGGGGCGGGGGGAAGGATTCTATATTTTCCATTTATTTTGTCCGAGACTGTAGTTTAGACGCTACCTTTTATGCTGCTTCTCGATGCTACAGTTGGTGTCTTGTTTAAGAGAGAGTCCTTTGCAATCAACATTGTTTAGTACCTTTTTTTAAAAAAGGGAAATTCAGATATGAAGGTTTTGTTTGCAATAACCCGTGTATATCATACGCCTGCTTACTTTACCAACTCCTCACTCCATAGCCATGGCTCGGCGAATTCCTTACGTACATATCCAGGCTTCTGTCTTGATTTGTTTTGCTTTTTACTGGGTTGGCGATTACTCCCGTTAGAACTCGGTTGCTGTGATTGCCATCCGAATAGTCCAAATCGGCGACGTTTGCATCGGCGACGACTGAATCGGCGACGATATGGATGCATCGGGAACGCCCAGCGACGATATCGACCTCCATAAGGACGTCCCTTGCAGCTATCTGGTCTCCGGCGCCTAGTATCTAAAAGAAAGTTTTAAATGTCCCCACACTGCTTGTCTGACAGTACGAGTTTTATCAGGTTAACAGTGAAACCTTCAGTCTCTTGACTGTTGTCTACTGAGTTGGCTAGAGTACAGGGACCGGTTACATAAAACCTTTACTTTAAATGCTCTATTAAGCAGGATACTTAATTACCCTTCAAAAATTGCGTGCCCGTTGCGGGTGATGTTGCTTACAACATACCAAACACTTCCAGTCGTTCGTTTCTGCGGAATCCACACAAGTTCCGTAAATTTACGTTCTATTTACCACTTAAAAGACACTTAAGTATTAAAATGCCCAATTTATTTGTGTTTTCATGCCTACAACACTCCCATTTACACAGACCTTCCCTCCCTTCTATCTTACACACTGTTTCATTGGAGACTTGGAAAACCTTTCATTGGGATGCCTATCCCATACTTTAAACACCTGTAATACCACAAAGGTTGCTAGGTGCATCTATTGCTCTAATTTTTTTTTCGTCTTTTTTTTTATCGTAGTACTATTTTTTTTTTACAAAGTCAGCGGGGGGCGCATATCCCGAACACAACGCCTTATGTATGTTGACTTAGATCTCCGGCTGGTTTAGGTTGTAACAACACAACGGACTCAAAAATAGATTCAAACTGCACTATACAGCTCGTATAACTCTTGTCATTTAGATTTCACTAACACGTCCGGCCCAACATGCTAACATTAGTAACATATTATCACGTGTAGTTATATACTAAACAGAGAAAAAGTTAACTGATAGTTTAAATTTGTGAATATTAAAGTAAAGATTAAAGACTGAATTAGTTTAATACTGCACAGACAAATCAAAAGTTTTAAGAGGCTCAGAAATAATTATTATTTTATTTCATGGTATAAATTTTAATCATGAAGGAAAAAGCATTTAATTGGTAGGAGAATTTAAAAATTCGTTGTTGTTTTCAAATTTTAGAGATTTGATTCCAATAAAGTAGTGAGAGTATTTTTTTTTTCACTTCTTAGAGCTTGAATTCTTCACAATTTTCTACCGCCATGGAAGAGAACATGTTGCTGCGACCTGGTTACCAACGTAGTTTATTTGTTTGGACTTAAGATAGACAGTTCCACTGTAAAGAGCACGGTTAATTGTTTCAAACTACAGTTTTACTACATTTGGAAGAGACAAGAGTCGTCGCAAGGTGTATATGGCTAGGCAAGAGGGAGGCTGTGAGAAGTGGATCCCAACGCTACAGAAACTAGGGAGCTTTAGCAATTAAGGCGAGAGCAGCAGTGATAAATTGGAGTTAAAAACTGAATAACAGTACGCTCCACTTCAGTAATGATTACCATACAAAAAGCTATTTTAGTTAATGTTGTCAAAAACTCTAGGCGACAGGGCCGAAAAAGCAAGAAATGTTTTTGTTTCTGCATTCATCGCCTCTTCCTTAAGAGACCTCCGACAGCGGATGGAACGGTTAAAGAAATAATCCGGGTTTAAGGGGACTTAAGGTTGCTCGACTGGATTTTTTGGGGGGATACCTCCCAAGTTTGAGCATTAATTGCGTCGCCATGAGTAAAGATATGGAAAAAAAGTTACCACAACTGTATTATATAAAGATGAAAATTTCTTATGATTTGGGTTTTATTGCAATCGGAGTCGCCATAGCAACGTAACGACGCCATTACGTTTTTTATTTATCTTTGTGTTTCTCTGTACCAAGAGTTTTTTTAAAAAATCGCTTAAGGGAGTTTGTACGTGCCATAATTGCCTTAATTATGGCAAAGTTTGAACAAATTCTATGAGAGCGTTTTCGAAATATTTTGAAACGAAGTTTTAAGCATCATATAAACAGTGAAATGGCAGGCTATCCACACAATTAGCTAATTTTTTAAGAAAATGATAAGCTTTGGAAACGCGGCTTCATCTCATAGCGGTTTGATTCCATTGCAAAATGATTACAAAAAAAAGAGGGGAATTGCTCTGGGCGATCGCGAGTATGAAGAAATTTATTAACTTGCATTCAGCTGCTTTTGTTACAGTTTTTGGTCTACGCCTACAAATTTTGCATTTTTTAAAAAAACCGGTCGCTAAATTTATTAGAAATTTGAAAATCCCGAGATCAATCGTCAATAAATGTCCGCTGCAAGTTTCAAGAACATTAAAAACAAGGAAGGCTTTTAAATAGGGCCTCAAATATGACCAATTTCCCCCCCAGTTTTGTGTTTACAACTGAGCGTCCTCATTATTCACTGGCATTGTTTAAAAAAACTCCTGGTACAGAGAAACACAAAGATAAACAAAAAACGTAATGGCGTCGTTACGTTGCCATGGCAACTCCGATTCCAATAAAACCCATATCATAAGAATTTTTCATCTTTATATAATACAGTTGTGGAAACCTTTTTCCATATCTTTACTCATGGCGACGTAATTAATGCTCACAAGAATTTCCCGGGCTTTTCCTTTTGGATTTACACTTGGAACAAGGATGCAGTCCCTGAAAACTTAAGTCCAGAAAAATTCGCCAGCATTCGATCCCCCGGAGAGCTTGCTCGCAGGCTATGATTGCTTAGGCTCCCTGACAACAGGGCTGCAACGGTAACCAAACTTTTCCACGATACGATACAGATCGCGATACAAGGGCCACGATACGATATACTAGTATTACTATGCGGGACAAGAATAGTTTCCATTGCTTGTGGGTGGACAAGACGAGAAGCACGGGAAGCAGGGATGGTTTGCTTTTTTCTTGTTCCCAACACAAATCGCCTTAAAGTGGACAAAATAAAGAGACTGGGTTTAAGACAGTGATTACCCAAATTTTCGTTTTATCATATGTCATTGTATCATAACATCGCTATATCTGGTTCAAATGTCGATATTCCTACCCTTAGAAGAAATATCGCGGTTCACACATGCATCGATATATCGTTGCAGCCCTACCAAACGATACACACAACTGACAATCATCAATAAAATTGATCTGAAAGAATGCCATTCACTTACAGTATGAGAGGCCCTTTTCGCATCGAGCTGTTTGGATGCCGAGGTCAGAAAAGTAAATTACCCCACTTTCCTGTTAACAAAGAGGTAATAATAAGTCAGGGTTAACATTTATTCTCTGATTATTTGTATAATAATAAAAGGTAATAATAATGAGGCTGAAATGGTTTTGTAGACTGTGTAGGGTATCACTTTGGGTTATCGCCGCCGATCTTGGAGTAATTAATGCTCAACGATATCATGTTTGTAGACAACAAAATAGGCTTAAAATTAGGCTTGAAGTTGGTTAATCTTAACCACCTTTCGTGGCGGCCACTCGCTAGAACGAATGACTTCCCTGAGTCGGGGACGTCTGACTGCCACCGAACCACAACTGGTCCCCTGCAGGACAGACTTCAATGGCTTGCTCCAATATGACTGTAGACGTTACTTAAACTAACGCCTAACCTTCAACGCACGGCACTTTTGAAAAGCAGGTCATTTTATCTCATTATTTTTTTATAAGAATGTGTTGTCTTCTATAAATATTGATAAATAAATATTCTTTTTTTTTTTTATTTATGTAATCCTGATGAGTTTTAACCGTGTTGAAATGAAGATTACTACTACTACTGCATTAGCCTGCGAAAACAGCCGTCTCTCCACGTTTCTCGCCCCTGGGGAGGTTTCGCTAGGAGGGACGTCTGCGCCTAAGCGACAGAAACTCCATACTGATGACGTAAATCAATGTTTACATGATAAATCCGATAGTCATGGAGTTCCAAATCTAAATTTGTTCGATTTTATGTTTCTCCTGGTCGATTATGGTAAAGTTTTGTGTTCTTTGGCGAACGAGCTCCAGCAAAACTCAAATGCTTCTGCTAGAGAAGAATATATTCCACGAAAATTGACTGTTTTGTAGGAAGATTCATCGCGTTTACATTTGACCTTTGTGACCGTTTCTCGTTTGTCTGTCGTTCGTAGACAATAGCTAAAACAATATAACTACTACGTCGACCAATCAGAGCTCCTGACCAGATTCCAGACAGTATGGAATTTCTTTTGCTGAGAGGCAAACGTCCTCCCAGGCGAAAGGTCCCTTTAGCGGCAACGAGCGACGGCTGTTTTTGCCGGCTAATATGGCATTGCATGGAACAAGCCATTAGTGAGCTTATGCATACACATTTGTGAGGTAGACTTTTTGCATTATTGGGCAATAGTTTAGCCAAAATTTTCGGGAAAATCGTCTCTACAAGAGTGAAGAACCTTCGCAATACAAGTTTGGTAGCGTCAAGGCATATCAAAAGGAAAAAGGCCTCGCTTCCAGTTGATGTACCTCGCTCAAAAACATCTTTCCTTAAGCTCCCTACTATGATATGTCTACGTGAACTTTATTTTTTCAACTAAGCTGCCTTTGTTTTAATATTGTACCAACCTTAAATGCTTTTGAAGCATCAAGTGACTTTGTGCCAGAGCAATCTGATCGATAATTTCCAGACGACCCAACATCCTGAGAACTTAGTACATTTATTGCCTACAGAAGTAAACAGTATGTTAAAAGTCAGCTCTTCCATTGGCGAATCCCTTATGACGTCATTGTTTGCAATTTTGCTCATTAGCATACAATTCAACAACCTCCTTCCCAGGGTTCTCTCTCTTGTTTCGAGACAGAGAACCCTGGGAACGAGGTTGTCAAGTTAACTTATAGAAGACGTCACCGTATATAAAAATTAGATTCAAAAGTTGAAAGAGCTAATAAATTTGAGTGGTTTGTGCAATTTTCAACTCTTTGCGATCACTAACAAAAAAAATATAGGCAATCAAAAACTTCGAAATTGCTGGATGGCGAAAAAGAAACTATGAGTAAGTGCCGTTAACGTAGCTGGAGAAGAGGGCAGCAGACGCGTAATAGCTGACCACAGGACTGTTTTCTCCCAACAAAATGTTCCCTTAACCCAGACATATGACCATTCAAGAAAGAAATAATGATTTGCAGCTCTGGGTCGAGTTGCTGGAAAATTGGATAACCCTATCTACTGGATAAACCTCTAATACGTATCCGCTGGACAGTGATTTATCAAGTAAATAGCGCTTTCCAACGTTTGAACAACTGGGGCCTGTTCAACAATCCCGCGAATCCCGAGGGTTACCCATTAAAACAGGTTACACAATGAAGGGTTTGAACCCAGGAGTCAGTAGGTTGAGCATGATCGTCCGGGTCAAGGTAGTCCTGAATAGGACTGTTGTTACAGTCCAAGCAGGTCAAGCGTTTCCGTCGAGTCGCCAACGAACTAATGAATTCATTAAGGATAAAATGATTTCGTTTGTTGATTCAATAATATCCATTCTTAAAATGAACAATCCAATATTCATATTCAGCCTCGATTCAATAATCGAATACTGATTCGATTACTGTTGTTTGAAAAACCACACTTTCCACAAGTCAACTTCAAAATTTTGTTTTTTCTTCTTTTTTTTGCTGCCAGTAATCAGTGCAACAGACCTGACCTCTTAGAAAACACGATGGTCAAACTGAGATCAGTGTATGTGCGGTGATTGGCGGTTTTCGATCCTCGGCCTTTGTCAGTTGCTTTGCGTTTGCGGTCTGTCTATTTGCTGCCGGGCATCAGCCGGCAGCAGACCATATTCTTGAGCGATTTGAGATCTTTGGTTCAATGGTTCCATGGTTCAATCAATCTGTGACTGCGGCGCTGTGCAGTCAGCGGTTTGTTGAAGCAAGTGCTTAGCTGCCGCGCCTGTTTTTTGAGAACAAAACAAAATGGCGGGTTGCTCCTATGTACGATCCAGGGCGGATAAATGTTGGGCGGTGAAACGAGCGCTCCGCTCTTCATTTAATGTGTGATGCAGATTAGGACTGGTACGAGCGCTATTTCCGCGCTTCCGGTGCGCTTGAAGGCCGGCGAAATTTTCCTTTTTGCAAACCGGAAATCCTATTTTCTTTCTGTAATTTTAGGCTACAATGTTAAATAGATAAATTCGTTTCATAACAATAGCAATAAACAGTTTCATATGTTTATATCTGTATGCCTATAAGTCTAACTTGTTGGTCGTATAATGCCAAAATTTGAGTTTAATTTGAAAGTGCTGAATACCTCCTCCTTCCACTAAATATCACCAGAAACCCATAAGGGGTTGAAACGTGTAACTCGCGTTCAATGCTCGTGAATATTTACTTTTACCATATTTGGAAACCTTAGTAACGGATATCCATTTTCAACAAAATGGCTGCTGCGCGATCACCATGCAGATGTTTTAAGACAAGAGTTCTGCATTTCAAGGTTAAAAATACACCGTTAAAAGACAAAAAATGGAAAGAGAAAGTTCAAAAGAATGCTCAGCTTTCTTTTTGTGGAGAAAGGGAAGCTTTTCATCAAGAAATCGTCCTTCGAGGAATTCAACCTTGTTTTCTTCACGGCGGAGCCCATGGTCTGTTTTGAAATGCAACCAAGTCAGCGAAGTTTTTGCTGAATTTTCAGGTACATTTTGCACTCTATGGCCAAGACAATTACGTTTTTGAAAGGGAATTTATGTATTTTTAAATGTTTCATTGACGTTTTAAGAAAAATTACAAAATGTGCCCTGATTTGAAATGGATTTTGTGTTGAATTTTGTCATGTGCTTAGCCGAGGGAGGGTAAAAACTGAGGGAAAACTAATTTTGAAGTTTCGAAGAAACAGAAAGACGTATGAGATGTTTTTTTTCAAAATTAAAAAGAAGGATGATGGTGATTGAAATTAGCATAATTTCACCTTGAACGAGCTGCACGCATTTA